CAACATGGCGAAACACTGTCTCTACAAAAAAAAAAAAAATTAGCCAGGCATAGGGGCACATGATTGTGGTCCCAGTTCCTCAGGAGGCTAAGGCAAGACAATTACTTGAGCCCAGGAAGTTGAGGCTGCAGTGAGCTGTGATCATGCCACTGCACTCTACCCTGGGCAACAGACCGAGACTCTGTCTCAAAAATTTTTTTTTTTTTTTTTTTTTTTTTCTGAGATGGAGTCTCACTCTGTCACCCAGGCTGGAGCACAGTGGCACAATCTTAGCTCACTTCAACCTCCACCTCTCAGGTTCAGGCAGTTCTCCTGCCTCAGCCTTCCGAGCAGCTGGGATTACAGGCAACTGCCACCACACCTGGCTAGTTTTGTGTTTTTAGTAGAGACAGGGTTTCAACGTGTTGGTCAGGCTGGTCTCAAACTCCTCAGTAGCTTTTTTGAGGTCACAGTAATTGGTCTCTCCATTATTCTTTGCTCTGCAGGGCCTCAGAGCACCTGCCGGCCGCCTTGTTCCCTGGGTCTGCTTAGCAGATCCCGGAGCTGTTACAGTGCGTGGCAGGACACTATACCTGAAAGGCTTCCTTCTCTGAGTATGGTTTTGGCAGTGAGGTGGGTGTGTTTTGGCTGCTCTGGGACTACCCTAAGGAAATAGTTCACGACTATAGGCAGCGTCACTTTACTTTGAAATTTCTTGGCTAGAGAATTTGCAGTAACCAACCTGGGCAATGTGGCGAGACCCTGTCTCTACAAAAAATTTAAAAATTAGGCCGGGTGTGGTGGCTCACGCCTGTAATCCCAGCACTTTGGGAGGCTGAGACGGGTGGATCACAAGGTCAAGAAATGGAGACCATCCTGGCCAATATGGTGAAACCCCGTCTCTACTAAAAATACAAAAGTTAGCTGGGTGTGGTGGCGTGCACCTGTAGTCCCAGCTACTCAGGAGGCTAAGGCAGGAGAAGTGCTTGAACCCAGGAGGCGGAGGTAGCAGTGAGCCGAGATCCCGCCACTGCACTCCAGCCTGACTCCTGGCAACAGAGAGAGACTCTGTCTCAAAAAAAATTTGTTTTTAAATTACTCGGCCCATGGGGGCTCACACCTTTAGTCCTAGCTACTTGGGAGGCTGAGGGGTGAGGATCACTTGAACCCAGGAGGTTGAGGCATCAGTGAACTATGTTCCTGCCTCTGTAGTCCCGTCTGGGTGACAGAGAGAGAGAGAGAGAGTGAGAGACCGTGTCTCACAAAAAAAAAAAAAAAAAATTCACAATGCCATTTGTGCAGATTCTGTCAGGTTGTGTTCTTCTGTATTTTGCTTTCCTCTTGGTCTCTCTCCTCTTGCTGCACGCCTATCCCTGTGAATTTTCAGTCTTCTCCTCTCTTCCAGGCCCCGTGACTGACTTTTGTCTTATTTTCCCACCTGTCTTCTAAGCAGACAGATCCGTCTTGGTCATTTGGATGTCTTCTGTGGAATCAAGAGGATGTACCTACATATCTGTTTCCCCCTTAACTTTCTTATTTTTGATCACAGTTCTTTTTATCCCTTGACCTGGGAAGTGCATCATCATTCTTAGGTTTTCCTGATTTGAAAGCCACCCGGGACTAAATGCCACCTCCCTGGAAGAACTTAATTATTTTCTGTAACCTAGGCAGTCATTCTTTGAACAGTGGTCTTTTCGACCGCGTAGGCCATGCCTGCTTTCTCTGTGTTTGGAACAGGGCTGCTTTTTAATGGTGGATTTGCTCACCTGACTTAGAAAGCAGCTCCAGACTGTGCTGGTCAGATACTTAATTCTGCATTCAGGTTTGGCCTGAGCATCTATGGTTCACTTTCTCAGCAAGTCGTTAAATGATTCATTTTCTCTCTTTTTTTGAGATGGAATCTCCTTGTGTTGCCCAGGCTGATCACAAAAAGAGGGGCTTTATCTGATGTCCTTTGTTTGTATATGTTTAAAGTGGGAGAGAAAGATACCTAGGAAATGGATGTTAAAAAGCACTACTGCCTTTAATTTCTCAAGTGCCTTAGAGTGTTGGTAACTCATAATGGATCCACACTTTGAACCCAGTCCTCTGGCTCCCAGTCCGCTCCCGACACCCGCTGACACTAGCAGACAAGGTCTTCCAGAAGAGAAGGCTTGTGTTTGAAGCCTTTGGACAAGTTACTTCCCAGCTCACCAGTGTTCACTGAGAGCCTCCCCTTCCCCAGGGGAAATGGGATCCTCTCTGTCTAGCCCTCCTGTGGATAGATGGAGCTGACAGAGAGGGAAGCCGGTTAGCAGCAGGCATATCTTGCTTTTAAAAAAGATAGGTCTAGGCCAGGTGCAGTGGCTCATGCCTGTAATCCCAGCACTTTGGGAGGCCGATCACCTGAGGTCAGGTGGGCAGATCACCTGAGGTCAGGAGCTTGAGACCAGTCTGACCAACATGGAGAAACCTGTCTCTAGTAAAAATTAGCCAGGCGTGATGGTGCATGCCTGTAATCCCAGGTACTTGGAAAGCTGAGGCAGCAGAATCCCTTGAGCCCAGAAGGCAGAGGTTGTGGTGAGCCAAAATTGTGCCGCTGTACTCTAGCCTGAGCAACAAGAGCGAAACTCTGTCTCAAAAA